ACAAAAAAATAGGTAGAATTTATAAACTGAAAATATTGATATCTTAAAAATTAGGAAGTTGTTGTTTGTCGCAATTTATTAAAGTTGAACTTCTAAAAGTCTGAACGGTGCATGAATTTTCTACTTAATATTCATTGGTCAAATGTACAGTTCTAAATAACAGATTTCGTCTCTTGTTGAACACTATAGGAGCCCCTAAGATTTTTAAAAACATTGTGAAAATCGTAACACTAGGAGCCCCTGAGATTCTTTAAAACATTGTGAAAATCATAACACTAGGAACCCCTGAGATTCTTTAAAATATTGTGAAAATCGTAACACTAGGGGCCCCTGAGGTACTTTAAAACATTGTGAAAATCGTAACACTAGGAGCCCCTGAGATTCTTTAAAACACTGAAAATAGTAACACTAAAACCCCTTGAGATTCTTTAAAACATTTTGAAAATCATACCACTAGGAGCGCCTGACATTCTTTAAAACATTGTCAAAATCATAACACTAGGGGCCCCTGAGATTCTTTAAAACATTGAGAAAATCGTTACACTAAACGCCCCTGAGATTCTTTAAAACATTGTGAAAATCGTAACACTAGGAGCCCCTGATATTCTTTAAAACATTGTGAAAATCGTAACACAAGGAGCCCCTGAGATTCTTTAAAACATTGTGGAAATAATAAAATTAGGAGCCTTTGAGATTCTTTAAAACATTGTGAAAATAGTAACACTAGAGCCCCTGAGATTCTTTAAAACATTGTGAAAATCGTAACACTAGGAACCCCTGAGATTCTTTAAAACATTTGGAAAATCGTTACACTAAACGCCCCTGAGATTCTTTAAAACATTGTGAAAATCGTAACACTAGGAGCCCCTGAGATTCTTTAAAACATTGTGAAAATCATAACACTAGGAGCTCCTGAGATTCTTTAAAACATTGTGAAAATAGTAACACTAAAACCCCTTGAGATTCTTTAAAACATTTTGAAAATCATAACACTAGGAGCCCCTGGCATTCTTTAAAACATTGTCAAAATCATAACACTAGGGGCCCCTGAGATTCTTTAAAACATTGAGAAAATCGTTACACTAAACGCCCCTGAGATTCTTTAAAACATTGTGAAAATCGTAACACTAGGAGCCCCTGATATTCTTTAAAACATTGTGAAAATCGTAACACAAGGAGCCCCTGAGATTCTTTAAAACATTGTGGAAATAATAAAATTAGGAGCCTTTGAGATTCTTTAAAACATTGTGAAAATAGTAACACTAGAGCCCCTGAGATTCTTTAAAACATTGTGAAAGTCGTAACACTAGGAACCCCTGAGATTCTTTAAAACATTTGGAAAATCGTTACACTAAACGCCCCTGAGATTCTTTAAAACATTGTGAAAATCGTAACACTAGGAGCCCCTGGGATTCTTTAAAACATTGTGAAAATCGTATAACACTAGGAACGCCTGAGATTCTTTAAAACATTGAGAAAATCGTTACATTAAACGCCCCTGAGATTCTTTAAAACATTTTGAAAATCGTATAACACTAGGAACGCCTGAGATTCTTTAAAACATTGAGAAAATCGTTACACTAAACGCCCCTGAGATTCTTTAAAATATTTTGAAAATCGTATAACACTAGGAACGCCTGAGATTCTTTAAAACATTGAGAAAATCGTTACACTAAACGCCCCTGAGATTCTTTAAAACATTGTGAAAATCATAACACTAGGAGCCCCTGAGATTCTTTAAAACATTGTAAAAATCATAACACTAGGAGCCCCTGAGATTCTTTAAAACAATGTGAAAATCGTAACACTAGGAGCCCCTGAGATTCTTTAAAACATTGTGAAAATCGTAACACAAGGAGCCCCTGAGATTCTTTAAAACATTGAGAAAATCGTTACACTAAACGCCCCTGAGATTCTTTAAAACATTGTGAAAATCGTAACACTAGGAGTCCCTGATATTCTTTAAAACATTGTGAAAATCGTAACACAATGAGCCCCTGAGATTCTTTAAAACATTGTGAAATTCATAACACTAGGAGCCCCTGAGATTCTTTAAAACATTGTGAAAATCATAAATAACACTAAAAAAACCTGAGATTCTTTAAAACATTGTGAAAATCGTAACACTAGGCGCCCCTGAGATTCTTTAAACATTTTGAAGTTCATAAGACTAGGACCCCTGAGATTCTTTAAAACATTGTGAAAATCATAATACTAGGAGCCCCTGAGATTCTTTAAAACATTTTGCAAATCATAACACTAGGGGCCCCTGAGATTCTTAAAACATTTTGAAAATAATAACACTAGGAGCCCGTGAGATTCTTTAAAACATTGTGAAAATCATAACTCGAGGAGCCCCTGATGATGAAACTAAATTTTATCAAACGAGATAATTATGAAAAATCAAAAATTTTGGCTAAATATAATTGTAAAGAAAATTAAAAATATCTAACAAAAAAAAATAGGTAAAATTTATAAACTGAAAATTTCGATATCTTAAAAATTAGGGATTTGTTGTTTGTCACAATTTATTAAAGTTGAACCTTCGAAAGTCTGAACGGTGCATGAATTTTCTAATTAATATTTATTGGTAAAATGTACAGTTCTAAATAACAGATTTTGTGTCTTGTTGAGCACTATAGGAGCCCCTGAAATTCTTTAAAACATTTAGAAAATCGTAACACTAGGGGCCCCTGAGATACTTAAACATTGTGAAAATCGTAACACTAGGAGCGTCTGAGATTTTTAAAACCTTGTGAAATTCATAACACTATTAGGAGCCCCTCAGATTCTTTAAACATTGTGAAAATCGTAACACTAGGGGCCCCTGAAATTCTTTAAAACATTGTGATAATCATAAATCTAGGAGCCTCTGATGATGAAACTAAATTTTATCTAACGAGATAATAATGAAAAATCAAAAATTTTGGCTACATATAATTGTAAAGAAAATTAAAAATATCTAACAAAAAAAAAAAGGTAAAATTTATAAACTGAAAATTTCGATATCTTAAAAATTAGGGATTTGTTGTTGGTCAGAATTTATTAAAGTTGAACCTCCAAAAGTCTGAACGGTGCATGAATTTTCTACTTAATATTTATTGGTAAAATGTACAGTTCTAAATAACAGATTTTGTCTCTCGATGAACACTATAGGAGCCCCTGAAATTCTTTAAAACACTTTGAAAAACATAACACTAGATGCCCCAGAGATTTCTTAAAACATTGTGAAAATCATAATACTAGGAACCGCTGAGCTTCTTTAAAACATTTTGAAAATCATAACACTATATGAACCCCGGAGATTCTAAAACATTGTGAAAATCATAAATCTAGGAGCCCCTGATGATGAAACTAAATTTTATCAAACGTGATAATAATGAAAAATCAAAAATTTAGGCTACATATAATTGTAAAGAAAATTAAAAATATCTAACAAAAAAAAATAGAGGTAAAATTTATAAACTGAAAATATCGATATCCTAAAAATTAGGAATTTGTTGTCTGTTGGAATTTATTAAAGTTGAATCTCCAAAAGTCTGAACGGTGCATGAATTTTCTACTTAATATTTAGGTATTGGTCAAATGTACATATCGATCAAACACCCTGTATATAAAATGGATAATTGACGGGCTGTTAACGTTGTCAATAAATATTCCAAATCAAAGTATGTACTTAAAAACTGTCAACAACACAATTAAATTAAAAAATTCTGTCAAAATTTACTCAAAAATTGTCTTTCTATAATCTACCCCAAATTTTTTGTCAGTGTATTGTGAAACAAAAATTCGTTGAGAAGACGAAGTTTAGTTTTAAAAAATAAAAATTTGCTTTCTTAGTCAGATATGGATTCGAACATCAAATAGTGTCAAAAATATGAAACCAAGTTGTATAAATCGAGATATGTAATTAGGAAAAATCAAAAATTTTTTATGCATACAATGGTAAATAAAATTAAAACTATGTAAAATTAAGTTATCTTAACTGAGACAATTTCATTAAAAATTTAAAGCTATAATTGTCAATAAATAAGAAGCTTGTAATCAATATTTTTCCTGTTTTGAAATTATATAAGAACAGTGCTTGATAAACATATCCAATAACACATACCAGGCGTTCAGGAGATACTCCAATAAGCTATTTTCAGAAGATACAAAGTTCACAACAAAATGTAACACATATTTGACAAAAAAAAAATATACACACAGATTGTAAAATTTCGGTAGTACACCGACGTAGAAATATCGAGAGCTAGCCATGATAAATTTGACCAATAATTTCGTTTTAAATCAACAACAAACACCTATGAGTTAATTATGCAATGAAATGTATTTGCTATTCATGCTATTTGTTCCTTTTCAAGCTCTTAATGAATTTATTAGCATTAAAATGCACGTAAACAAAATTTTCAAAAATATTACTATTGTTAGTTTTAGTTTTTTGATTTGAGTGTCAAAAGTGTATGTAAGAAAAAAATAAGTTATCTCATAACTATTGTAAAAAAATTTTTGACTGTGGGTGAAACCGACGCGAAAACTAATCTCGGTGTCCATTACATCACACTGATAATTTAATACACTAATAACACAACAATTTGGTTTCTTTGTAACGTTTTCAGGTTTGTAACATAAACTAGTTAATGGTAAAATAATATGATAATGAGACAGCACTAATGGTGTAGTTCTACAAGCTCGAAATAAACGATTTTTAACCCGATATTAATACACTTCGCAAACAAAGTGCGTGTATTTTAATTCAACCCTCTTGTATCAGCAACAAGTTGCCCCCAAATCCGCCTTTACCAACCCAAAACCGCGTCTCCAAATCCCGTAAACACGTGTACCGCCGACAATGACGCACGAAATCGGGTTAAATAAAAGCCGCTGCATACAATTTAGCCACAAATTATGCAACAATTGCGTGCATTTCCGACAAAGACAACAGCCCGTCGTCGCCGTCACTAGTCGCCGCCAACCACCACCTACTCAGTCCTACTCACCGGAAAATCTCGAAAAGCCGAAACGAAAGTCGACGGCCGGCCAGGCAAAGAAATCCTCAAAAATCCAACGAAAGAAACGAAAGAAAAAGACGGCGTTCGCACAGAGTGTCACATCACTAGCACTGGGTGTTCGCGCAGAATACGAGTTGCAAGCCGCAGTGGTAAGCGTTCTCACCTCTGTGATGTCGGCTACCGACTGCTGTTCCGGCGGCCGTCCAAAGCACCCACTGCCGGAGTGGTGGGCAAACGGCGGTGATTCGTCGTCGCAGATCTGCCTCCGACGGCCACAGCCACCCCACCACCCACTGCCGAAGAAAGGAACGGCGGAGGCAAAGGCGATTGCACTCGCTGCGCTGCTGACGGGGAAATTCAGTCGGCGGCAGGATGCTGGAAAAGCGCCGAATTTAATGGCTTCGGGGGCGGAAATTGGCGCATTTTTAGTACAGATAGTGTGCTCGGTTATGAAATCTATAATTATCTAATTATCTGGAATTAACAAGTGCCGTGGAAAACGTCACTTTTCTATTGTTATTTTAGTCACGAAAGTGAATATTTTCGTGCTTACTCAGCCAGGCTAGCAAAAAATAGAGGAAGGTATTTTATTTTGTTGAGTGAGAAGGTTTTCCGCGCTCGTTAAGACAGATAATAGTGAATAACAAAGTCATTAAAGAGGTTTCATTTACAAGACTTAATAAACATTTTTGGGTACAATGGATTTGAGGGTAATTAATGTCCAAATGTTTTGAAAAACAAGTATTTAGAAAATTTGGGTAGTAAAGTTCCCTAAATTGCTCACAACGTTCTAATATTTTACCACTCATATTATAATAAAAATTATTTGTTTGAACCTTTCTAGTTATCGACATTATTTTATATTTTGAGGAATTGATGTGAAGATTATTTCTAGCACAGTAATCAGTAAACGAGTCAACGCTGTCTTGTAACTTAATGCAATCAGGATAAGAATTTATAACGTTAATAATCTTCAAATCATCTGCATAAATATAAAACTTACAACTAACGTATTTATGTATATCATTGAAAAATATAATAAACAAGAGTGGAATCAAATTGGAGCCTTGGATAGCCCCACTATAACAAAAAAATTCCGGAGACTGATTTCCACTATATCCAACGTGTTGATATTTTTTCTTTGAGTTGCATAAACTGATTTGATGATTTAGTTTTTTGTCTGTCAGTAGTCTGATTGACGTTTGCTTCGAGCTGAATTGCCACTTTTCTACTTCATTTATTAGATCAGAATTATTAGACGCAATATTTTGAATTTTGTCAGCATAGATAATTTGTCATTGTGACAGATTCACAGATCATTGCGACATGATTTAAAAAGAAAATGCCTAAAATAGTTTTACTGAATTGATAATGAATTAAAGCTTTTAACCAGATGTTTTTTTTTCGGCATTTTGCGGCAAGACCGTTGAAGATTTTCTAGAAAAAAGGATTATTGTACCCAACTACCTACCTTAAAATTTTTCTAATGGAAACTTCTAAGTAAATGAACCGTTTATTTCACAACCATCAGTCTATCGCATCTGTCGTAGTACAGTGTTATACGTGGTTCTCCCTTGTTACATGTTGAGTTCTTTTTGGTAATATTACTAATATTTTAAAAGAATGCCGAAAGTAAAATCGACGCCGGATGAGTGGATAAGGGATTTTCCAGAATTAAAATTAGAAAACAACAAAATATTCTGCAGAGCTTGTGTGAAAACCGTAAGCCCAGTAATTTTTTTTTTATCTATTTTCCTTTGTTAATCCTGTATATGTACGTTGTTTTAGATTCAAAGTGATAAAAATATAACGTGACGCAACATGTCAGAACGACTCTTCATGTAGAAAGGAAGAAAATGTTTGAAGTTTCTAAAATTAAACAGCAGACCATACATGAATCTGTTGCATCTACTTCCACAAAAGATGAGCAGTTTCAGTTTAATTTCGATTTATGTAAAATGATGATGCAGTCCAACATACCTTTAAAAAAATTGGAGAAAGGCCCTCTTCAAGAATTCCTTGAAAAACACTGCAATCGACATATTCCGATTGAAAGTACTCTTTAAGTTTTTCAGTTCTTCGATTTGAAATTCTTCGTTTTTGCAGTTTCTCGTTTTTTGATTTTTTCGGTTTTTTCATTTTTTTTCAATTTTTTATTAATTTTCACATTTTTCATTTTTCGATTTTTCAACTTCTCAAATCAAAAAAAAAAAATAGAAAAAAATGCAAAATTTTAAAAATGGAAAATCAAAAATGAAAAAACCAAAAAGTATAAAATGAAAACTGAAAATTCTAAAAATTAAAAATCAAGATCTTGAAAAATTGAAGAAACGAACAAACATAAAATCGAAAGAAACATTGGAAAAATAACAGAAATGAAAAAACGAAAAATTGTAATATAAAATAGGGAAAATGAAATTTAAATAATCGGGACAGTGAAAAAAAATTGAAGAACTTGAAAAATTGAGGAAACGAAAAATTAATAAAAAATTGAAAAATTAAAGAGTGAGACAACTGAAAAATCAAAAAATGAAAAATCGTAAAATGGAAAATTGGCAAAGTTGAAAAAACGAAAAATTATGAAACTGAGACATTGAAAAATGAAAATATTGAGAAAATAAAAAACTAAAGAAACCAAAAATTGTGACATCAAAACAATTGTAAAATTGAAGCAAAAGGAGAAACGAAAAATTTTGAAATGAATGAAATAGAGAAAATTTAAATTAAAAAATCGGGAAAATGAAATATAAAAATCAAGAACCTAAAAAACTGAGGAAACGAAAAATTGAAAAATCAAAAAATGAAAAATTTGAACAACTGAAAAATCAATGTACCTATGAAAAATAGTATTATGGAAAAAATGCAAATCGAAAAACTCATGAAACACAAAACTCAATTGTCGGAAAAATGAAAAAATTAAAGCTGAAAATACGAAAAATTATGAAACCGAAACACTGAAAAATGGAAATACTGCAAAAATAACGAAAAATTGTGACTTCAAAAAAACTGTACAATTGAAGAAAAAGGAAAAGCGAAAAATTTTGATAAAACCAAAAAAATGAAAATAAAAATCGGGAAAATGAAAAATAAAAATCAAGAACCTAAAAAATTGAAAAACTGAAAAGTTAAAAGTCGATGTTCTTCTTTCGAGTGGGAGTGGAAACTAATAATGGAATAATGGAACAAAAATTAATAATAATTTCCTTTTCTATACACAAAATTTTTAAAAATAGCTATTGTGCCGAAACTCAAAAAGTTGCTGTATTTCAATTAGCGATTTTAGAAAAACGGTAGAAATTCCGAAGAAACGAAGGCGAAAATGGCATTTGGATAACGAAATCTACAAGAAAATGTCTTCAACTAATGTTTGGATATAATTGAAAAATGGTCGAAAATGTCAAAAATGCCCAAATCAGTCTTATCTTATCAAATACTAGCCCCGCCCATCCACTCTGTATTTTCTTGGAAAATATCTCATTTGCCAAAATCAGTCTTATCTTAGTAAGTACTAGCACCGCCCACCTACCCTCTTCTTATTCTAACTACTAATTTTGTTTCTCTTCAGTATAAGATCATTCATTTCATTCTGTTCGGATAAAATCAATCACCGAAAAGGAGACCGGGTGGGTGGGCGGGGCTAATTGTGTTCTTCTGTAGAGTGGGAGTGGAAACTAATAATAGAATAATGGAACAAAAATTAATAATAATTTCCTTTTTTATCTACAAAATTTTTATAGAGAGCTATTTTGACGAAACTCTAAAAATTGCTGTATTTCAATTAGCGATTTTAGAAAAACGGTAGAAATTTCGTAAGAAACTAAGGCGGAAATGAGTTCTGGTTATCGAAATCTACAAGAAAATATTTTCATTAATTTTCGGATATAGTTGAAAAATGGTCGAAAAGGTCAAAAATACCAAAATCAGTCTTTTCTTATCAAATACTACCCCCACCCACCCCCTCTTTATTGTCTTGGAAAATATGACATTTGTCAAAGTCATTATTATCTTAGCAAGTAGTTGCCCCGACCACCCGCCCTGTATTTTCTTGGAAGGTATATCTTTTCCCAAAATCAGTCTTATCTTAGCAAGGACTAGCCCCACCCACTCTCGATTTTCTTGGAAAATATGTGATTTGCTAAAATCATTATTATCTTAGTAAATAATAGTAACGCCCACCCGCCCTCTATTTTTTTGGAAGGTATGTCAATTGCCAAAATCGTTATTATCTTAGAAAGTACTAGCCCCGCCCACCCGCCCTCTATTTTCTTGGAAGGAAGGTGATTTGCCCAAATCAGTTTTATCTTAGCAAGTACTAGCACCGCCCACCCATCCTCTTCTCATTCTAACTACTTATTTTGTTACTGTTGACTGTAAGATCATTCATTTCCTTCAGTTCGCATAAAATCAATCACCGAAAAGGAGACCGGGTGGGTGGGCGGGGCTAATTATGTTCTTCGGTCGAGTGGGAGTGGAAACTAATAATGGAATAATGGAACAAAACTTACTAATAATTTCCTTTTTAATCCACAAAATTTTTATAGAGAGCTATTTTGACGAAACTCAAAAAATTACTGCATTTCAATTAACGATTTTAGAAAAACGGTAGAAATTTCCGAAGAAACGAAGGCGAAAATGACTTCTAGAAATCGAAATCTACAAGAAAATGTCTTCAACTAATTTTCGGATATAGTTTAAAAATGGTCGAAAATGTCAAAAATGCCAAAATAAGTCTATATTAACAAATACTAATAACTTTAGTTTACAACGAAATTAAACATCGCATTGGAGATAATTATTTATGGTTCGCTGTCGATGAAACAACCGATAGTTGTTTAAGATACGTGGCAAGTTTAATTATTGGAATCTTAAATGAAAATTTCCCTAGTCGAGGGTATGTAGTAAGTTTGAAAATGTTAGATAAAACAAATGGCAATACGATTACCAGATTTGTAAATGACAGTCTTACGTCATTATTTTTGTCAATAAAATTTTATTGATGATCTCGGATGCAGCTCGTTATATGTTGGAAGCAGGGTATAATCTAAAAATATTGTACCCCAATTTAATTCACTCTACTTGGATTGCCCACGGTTTAAACAGAGTGGCTGAAGGAATACGTTTGGAGTTTCCAACTGTTAATAAATTAGTGGCAAATGGTAAAAAGATTTTTGTTAAAGCCCCACTAAGAGTGCAACATTTTAAGG